ATCCGTGCAGATGGTGTCCAGACGTGATCTTCGAGAACCGGTCCGTAGCTCTGGCACACGCCCACAACAAACACCTGTGCCCTAACAGACTGGTTGTCGGACAACAGAGCAGTACTTTAAGTCGAAATGTTGTGCAAAGGATTGTCGAAACAAACAAACGGAAAAGCAATCAAATCTCTGTTTCAAACGACAGTTCACTTTAACTGTAAACTGGATTATTAAGTGTTTTTATATTTTACAATATTTGCTAAAATCATCTCTAAACTGCAATTTAATACCTTTTAATATAACCTAAATGTATGTCTAATCCATGGAATGTGAGCAAAATTATTCTTAAACTGAAATCTTCCTCAAACTTATTCAGAAGCCTTCTATGATTTTGTGAGAATTAAAGCAAATGAACCACAAAATCATAAATATGTCACTTAATACTCATTTTCTATTGAATACTATAAATGATGGTGTTTTGGAACCAATATTTTTTAAAACACTGATATATTACAATAACATGTAACTTATTAATGGATATCTTATCATTTATCTTGTTTTAGCAAATTCTGTTCATTAATTATTGGAAAAATAATTTATTTTCTGTAATATTATTTATTATCATTTGAATTATTTATTATTCATTTTATTATTTAAATCCATAGTAACTTAACTGTATTTATAAATACTATTATTAGATGTTTGAATAAAACTTATCACACTTTGACATTAACTTATAATTTGTATTAATAGTAATATATTACCGGTATAAGTTTTTGTGAATTAATTCTAAAATTGTACTGGATCAATATTTATTAACAAATAAAGGTTTATATTTATAAAGAATATTCAAATTCGTATATTTTATTAATTATGTAAAATTCTTATAGATATTTAAAGTTAAAAATTTTAAAAACTACATTAATATCCTTGTTAATTTCCTTATTAATATTGTATAATATCATTGGGGTTTGAGTATAGAAAGGTTGTGTACTGTATGTAATGTGAATTTTATAACAAATATAGAATCACCTATCATATAATGTGGATTTGCAAGTTTCCATAATACAGTACATGAATTGTTTATTATAATATATAGGTAGGAATATTTATAGATATGAGTCGACAATATGCTATACTTTGCTCCTACCAGTGCTCATTTGCCTCCGCTATATATCCCAATCCCACACCCATTTTATATCTGGTTGTTTGGGTGTCGACCTCTCCCTCTATTCCTATGTTCTGTGAACACAACTATTGCATGGATTCAACTATTTTTAACTTTTAAACACAACTCATATTTTAATAACAAATTAATTAATACACCAAAAGTGATGCATTAGAAGAGAGCACAGGGAGGAACGGGAGGAAACTCTAGGAATAAAAACATTGTGTCGTGAAAGTGAGTGCAAAGAAATGGCAAAAAGTGGGAAAAAATGAGAAAAAATTAGAAGAATTGTGTGAAAGGAAAGCAATTGAATGACAATCCCTTATACTGTATATCATGTAATGTATTATGAAATTAGGATTAAATGAATAAACGATTAATGCTTTCATTTCTTTGTGTTTTTCACACAACTTCTCATATATTCATGTCTTGTGTCACATTTGGGATCAGTTCTCGAAATCACTTGATTTGTGGTTTTAGTTGCCATTGAATGACAGACAATGAGTGAGAATTGGGAACAAATGTACGGAAAAGACATTTCCAGAGAAGTATTTGTTTGTAAACACAATGAATGCAAATACGAGTCCATCGATGAAAATGAGGTTCAGATTCACTGCAGACATCACTCACATCCAGACACTCCTCAAGACATCAAAACCGGTATTTAATTTCACTTTCATCTCAATATTTTCCAAATAAGTGAGTTTTTGGTAACTGTTTGACAACATCGTGACAGAATCGGGAAGCACTGGAAGTGATGATCAAATGGTTGACAACTCGTCGGTGGTGGTGAAGAAGACCGGCAAATATGTCTGTGAAGTGATTGGATGTCACAAACAGTTCTCTTATCTCAAATGCTTTGAAAGCCATAAACGTAACGAACACTCGACTCAAAGCACGAAGAATATGACACCAAATAAAGACCAGAATCTTAAGAATAACGACAATATGTGGGAACTGTATGTCGAGTGCCGGCCAATCGATGGCACCGACAGACTGTTCTGCAAATGGCCGGACTGTCACTTCGGGTCCAATCTTCGCGTTGTCCTCAAACAACACGTTATTAACAGTCATTTGACACAAAAGCGGATCAGAAGTCGACCCAAAATTCACAACGAATATGAATATTGGGATAAAATTCTGTTCGACCGGAAAGGCGTCAGATTCTCGGATGAACCTAAAGCTCCAGTTCCCACAAAAGTGGTCAACACTTCTCTATC